GGACTACTTAATACTTGCTTTATTTTCTTGAATGCTTCTTGGTGCTCATGACTCCACATAAACTCACTCTCTTTCTTTAATCTCAATAATGAAAAGAAACATTAGTCTTAGTCTGTCAAATTCGAAATAAATCTTCTCAAATAATTATTTTTTTTCAATACAGATTGTAGTTCTTTCTTATTTCTTGGAACACTAGTTTCAATTATTGTTTTGCTTTATTTTTGTCAATTTTGATCCCTTTTTCATGAACAATAAATCTTAAAAACTCTCCAACATTCACTCCAAAAGCACATTTTAAAGGATTCATTTTTAATCTATTATTTCTCATTATTTCAAAGGCTTTTTTTAATTCTAAGGTACTGAGTTCGGATCCTGCCAATGACAATTTTCTTAATTTGATAATAATTCAAAATTTATATACATGGGAGGGGGACCTTTAAATAAATAAATAAAATTAGATAAAATAAGATAGACTTTTCAAATCCATCGGTAATATTTACCAACAATACAATTTCCGATGGATTTTATCCAATTTTTCTTATAGTGATTATAATAATTTTAGCAATCCTTATAAATTTGTCTTTCAACAAGCGTTTAATCTCTTCTTTGATTTTCTCCATGATTTCTGGTGAAAATCTTTGTGGAGTTTGTTTAACTGGTTTCTTTCCTTTGATTATAGGCAATCGATGTTTTACTAAACTTTTATCCATTCCTGACATTTCATCATACTCCCATGTAAAGTAACGTTTATAGCATATTCACCAATTCATCTTTCAATTTTGTACTCAATAATTTACTAACGTAAGTGGGTCTTCTCTCATCTTTACTTATTAAGTTGACTTCTTCTATCTCATCTCTACTTATTAAGTTGACTTCTTCTAACATATCTTGTGTTTCTACTTTCTTATGCCATGATGCAATTGATTCTTCGAATCCTAAAGGAAAGTAATCATAAATGCAATCCAACTTAATATTATTACTTAAGACATAGATACTAGCTACTATCGATATAAGTGACTTATTAAAATTCCTACTCCTACTTGCATTTTCTTGGATCTTTCAAATCGAGAATGATCAACATATTTTTGCAATCAACTCAAGAAAGTCAAATATTAAAACTCAGTCATTGTGCCTAACCACTTTGAGGTTAACCTCCTCTTTCAATAAAATTCCTTTCTCTAGATTCATTCATACGAACTAAGGCTTATGCATCTTCAAGTTAAAATTTGTAGTGGTTTCGAATATGAACAACTTTGTTAATGCCAAACTCTTCAATTGATTAGCATGAGATACATATACCACATAATCACTCTCTGATCACCTTGAATCACTTCTAGGTGTCCATTTCGGTTCCACATAAATAATTTATAATGAGTTATCGATGGTAACGCTTTAATTCCATGTATCCACTATAAACATGGTTGCTCATGTACAAGTCTCCATTATTACATCTAGAGCAATCATTCTTGATGGGGACATGATCATGAGCAAGGGCAAGGATCCACTTGAAGGACTTGGAGGACCTATGGCGAGGGCTAGAGTAAGGAAAATAAAAGAAGTTATTCAACAAGTGTTGTCCATATTATTTGAATACAAATTGAAATTTCAAGGAGAAAAGACCAAAGTTGTGAATTGCATCATGACCCAAATAGAGGAGGACTAACACATCACTTTGCTTCAGTTTTTAAGGGATTAATTTGTTTAAATAATGGCTTAATCCTTTGTAAAATTGGTTGACCAAATTATGTTTTGTGTTAATCAATTAATGGATTTTAGTTTGGTTTTATTTCAAGTTGTAATAAGGGTTCAATTGAAAACTTAGGCACTAGCCTTTCGGAGACCAAGAGGGTACATAACTAATTGCTTTTGGGTGACTTTTGGTTGCCACAATTTTAGTTTCAATCAGTCATTAAGTAGTTTCCATTTCTAGGTTAATGAATCATTATTAATATTTATTTTCCTTTATTGAATCTTTTGTAATTTTGATGACAAACCTTCTATATAAGTTAAACCATTTTTATATCAAGAATACAAGTTGAGTTTTATTCAAAAATATTAAAGTTTAGCTCTCTTTTTTTTATCTTAGTGAGAGTGATTCTCCTAAGTTTTTGAGTGATTCAAGAACTCTAGACTATATCAAAAGATTTTTACATCCTTTGTAAGTTGTCTTCCTTAGGAAAAATGATTTGTTTCTTCAACCTTTCACATATTCACCTCTTGTTCTTTCACTACAAAAAAAAACGTTTATTATCTATGGGTAAAATCCGTAGGTAATTTACCTATGGATTATAATCCGTAGGTAATGCACTCACCTAAACAAAATATTTTTATTTATTACAACCCCTCCCCTTTATATTATATTTTTATTATTTATTATATTTTTGGAACTTTGAATTATTATTAGATTAAGGGAATTGTCATTGGCGGGATTCAAACCCGAGTACCTCGAGTTGGAGGTCGATACTCCAACCACTAAGTTATTAGGATATTTTGATAATAACTTACAAATAAATTATATTTATATTTATCCGTGTAAATATATAAATATAAAATATATATAAATATAAAATATATATAAATATAAATATATTTATATTTTGATATATTTATATTTTGATATATTTATATATTTATATATTTATATATTTATATATTTATATATTTATATATTTATATATTTATATATTTATATATTTATATATTTATATATTTATATATTTATATATTTATATATTTATATATTTATATATTTATATATTTATATATTTATATATTTATATATTTATATATTTATATATTTATATATTTATATATTTATATATTTATATATTTATATATTTATATATTTATATATTTATATATTTATATATTTATATATTTATATATTTATATATTTATATATTTATATATTTATATATTTATATATTTATATATTTATATTTATGTATTTATGTATTTATGTATTTATATATTTATATATTTATATATTTACACGAATAAATATAACTATAATTTATTTGTAAATTATTATTAGAATATCCTAATAGCTTAGTGGTTGGAGTATCGGGATAGTAATTCAGTAGGTAATTATCTACGGAATTACCCACGGATGACATTACCTACGAATAATATCCGTAGGTAATGTATAATTTACCTACAGATTTTTATCTGTAGGTAATATTTTGTAGATAATAGGCTTTTTTTTGTAGTGTTTCTTCACAAGAACTCAGAAAACTCAATTTTGTCCAGATTTATCTCGTGGTCATAATTTTCATTGTACTCGTCAAAATTGAGTATTTTTTAGCATAAATTCTCGTTTAAAACAAGGACTTTCACCTCATTTTTTAATCTCTTCAATTGGAGTTTTATAGTTCGAGATAACGACGTTTCTAAAATTCTGTCTAACTTTGAAATTTTTACCATTTTCTAATCCACCTTCTCACTAATTTTCTAAATTTCTTACAAATTTCTAACCTTAAATATCATAGGTCAACTCTTGTGCAAATGAGGTTTATATCAATTTCCTCTTAGTTTGATGATTTCCCACTAAAATCAAACATCATTATGTTGTTCTTTACTAAATCATCTTCTTTATTCCCAAATGTCTTTAACATCGATTTAGGTATAATATTAATTGTTGCTCCCAATCCACAAGAAATTTGTTTATATTCACTCCCTCATTCTCCAATTTTAACATAAGAGCTTTTAGACGGGTAAATTGATGAAGACAACATCTCGATCAAAAGACTCACACGATACTTGGGTAATCATACGAGCTTCTACCCATTCATTTTCACTCACTTTACATAATATAAAAACCCTCTCTATCATCGATTCTTGCCTTTAACTTCAATATTTTTTCTAACTTAATATTTCCATGTATTTATAAATTTATGAATAACATTTCACCTTTTGTTTCTTGCATAAGCGTATCAACAAGTTGCTCAAACATTTTTTAAGACTCATTGGTATTTTCTTTTAAAACATCAATTCCTAGTTGCAAGTTCTCCTACCCTGATAAGGGAGAAAAGTGGTTTATTGAATTATGAGACTTAAATTAATAGAGCCAAAATACTCAATTGAAATTATTGAAAGATAAACTTTTATTAATTGGTCAACAACCACTGAAAAATACAATTATCATAGTTTAATCTCACACTAGCTGGATCACAATATCACTAATAAAAATGACAGAAAAAAACTACTACTTGCACGCAAAACATTTATTAAAGACTTGGAAAACCTCAAAGTCTTCTCTCCGCATAGAAAATGTGTGTAGCATTTTCTCATACTAAAGAGGATGTATTGAGACAACGTGATAATAAATATAGATATCAACTTAAAATAAATTAAAATTAGCCAAAATTTTTTAATAAATATGTAAGTCACATATTAAAAAATTTAAGATTTCCTAATATTTCACTTCTATATGCATGTAAAATCAAGTAAATTTATTGTAGTATGCCAGTGTTAAGATGAATTATTAATATTTTAATATTATGTCAATTTTTAACTTAAAATAAATTGGTATAAAATAAAGTTATTCAACAGATATATTATTTAATTATTTACTTATTTAAGATTATATAAGTTGACGTGAATTTCAAAAAATTAAGTTGTCTTCTTTCGTGTGGGTTAACCTTTTTTGTTTTTTCTCATTAACATACTAACAAGTTGCTCAATCATTTTCAGATATGAATGTATATAATAGATAAAGAAGATGTATCAGAGACAATGATAACCGAGACAGGTTAATCAATGTTTTTCTATTTTACATACAATTTCATTGTTTATTATAATTGTATGGTTAAGCTTAATTGTTCAAACATCAAGTTACATTACATGAAACGCTTGCTAGATATAAAAAAATGAAAGATATTATAATAAACTGTGTATTGATTAACTAGCGACATTATATAATGATGAAGAACATGCAGTCTTCACTCACCACTACCACAAAGCAAGAGAAAGAGAGAGAGAGAGAGAGAGAGTAAACTAAAATGGCAGAAACTGCACTGTCTTTGGCTGGTAAGCATGTGCTTCCAAAATTGTTGGAAGCTGTACATAAGCTGAGAGATCTCCCGAAAGAAGTTACAGAAGTTACAGATGAACTAGAAAGCTTTCAAGATTTCATCAATAATGCAGACAAAGTGTCTGAAGCTGAAGAAGATAAGGAAAAGCGTGATAGAATAAGAAAAAGGTTGATGAGGCTGAGAGAAGCAGCTTTTCGTATGGAAGATGTCCTCGATGATTATAAGATATGTCTGGAAAAGCAACCTGAAGATGATCCTCGATGTGCAGCTTTACTCTGTGAGGCTGTTGAGTTCATCAAAACTCATATACTTCGCCTTCAAATAGCGTATCAGATTCAGGATGCTAAATCACATGTTCGTGAGGAAAAAGATGGTTTCGAAAAGCTTTTTCCTGAAGGACATGGATCCGACGGTTCTAGTGGAAATGAAACTTCCACATGGCACAAACTTCGAATGGATCCTCTCTTTATTAAGGAAGAAGAGGTTATAGGCTTTGAAGACCCTATACGTACATTGAAATATTGGTTGACAGAGGGACGAAAAGAGCGCACTGTCATCTCTGTCGTGGGAATGGCAGGATTGGGAAAAACCACTCTTTCTAAGCAAGTTTTTGACAGGGTCCGTGCAGACTTTGAGTGCCATGCATTGATCACAGTATCTCGACCCTATACCGTTGAAGGATTGCTGAGGGATTTGACGAACAAGCTTTGCAAAGAAAGAATGGAGGATCCTCCACCGGATGTTTCCACCATGGATCGAAGGTCGTTGATAGAAGAAGTCAGTAATCGCTTGCGCAACAAAAGGTATGTTATCTTGTTTGATGACGTATGGAATAAAACATTTTGGGATGACATCGAATCTGCAGTTATTGATGATAAAAAGGGAAGTAGGATATTGATCACCACCCGGGATGTGAAGGTTGCAGATTTCTGTAAGAAATCTTTGTTTTTTGAGGTGTATAAGCTAGGAACTCTAAGTAAAGAAAAATCATTGGAGTTGTTATGTAAGAAAGCATTTGGATATGGTTTTGATGGAAGTTGTCCAAAAGGTTATGAAGAAGTAGGTCTGGACATTGTTAAGAAGTGTGAATGTTTACCTTTAGCAATTGTGGCCATTGGTGGTCTTTTATACAGAAAATGTAAAAGTCCACACGAATGGGGCCTGTTTAGTCAAAATCTAAGGTTAGAGTTGGAGAATTCCGAGCTACACAGTGTAACAAAAATTTTAAGTTTAAGTTACGATGATCTGCCATACAATCTCAGGCCATGTTTGTTGTATTTCGGAATGTATCCTGAAGACTACGAAGTTAAATGTGGTCGATTAATTAGCCATTGGATAGCTGAAGGGTTTGTCAAACATGAAAGTGGAAGAACTTTAGAAGAAGTAGCACAAGACCATTTAATAGAGTTGATCAGTAGAAGTTTGGTGCAAGTGTCATCATTTAGCATAGACGACAAAGTTAGAGGATGTCGTGTTCATGACTCAATACATGAAATGCTCCGTGGAAAAATTAAGGATACGGGGTTTTGTCAGTATATTGATGAGCATAATCAATTAGTGTCAAGTGGTGTCATTAGACGCTTAACCATAGCAACCAGTTCATATGATTTGAGCGGAACTATTGAAACATCACATGTTCGGTCAATTCTAATATTAACCGAGAAAAATTTATCTGAACACTTCGCCGGCAGATTGCTTGCAAAATACATGCCATTGAAGGTGCTTGATTTTGAATCTGCTCCATTATATCATGTTCCTGAAAATTTAGGGAATTTATTCCACTTAAAGTATTTAAGCTTCCGGCGTACATGGATAAGTAGCCTTCCAAAATCCATTGGTAAGCTTCAGAACTTGGAGACCTTGGATGCACGATCAAAAACACTCTTTGACATGCCAAATGAGATTACTAAGCTTAGAAAGCTACGTCATCTTTTGGGTACGCCAATATCTTGCATTGCAGTGGATGATAGTCTTGGAGGCATGACATCCCTCGAAAAGATACATGTACTGAAGATAGATCCAGATGGAGTGTTAATTAGAGAGCTTGGAAAGCTAAAGCAATTAAGGGATCTGAGGCTTACTCATTTTATGCCAGAACATGGTAACACTCTTTCTTCCTCAATAAACGAGATGCAACACTTGGAGAAACTACATGTTTACGTAAAGGATGGGAATGGGGTAATTAACTTGGACATTACCTCTTCGCATTTAACTCTAAAGAAGCTTCACCTGCTTGGGATTTTAAAAGAGTTGCCAAATTGGATTCCCCGGCTCGGAAATCTTGTGAAACTGTCTTTTGGTGAATCCAAGTTAACTAACGATCCATTGAAGTCTCTGGAAAATTTGTCAAATTTGGTGTTCCTCTCTTTCGACTCTTATTCTTATGAAGGGGAAACTTTATATTTTCAAAAGGGAGGATTTCAGAAACTAAAGGAACTACGGCTCAAAGGTTTGTTTAAATTGCATTCCATCTTTATTGATGAAGGAGCACTGCAGTCTTTGAAAAAGCTTCTGATAAGGACCATCCCACAACTGAAGACAGTACCCTCTGACATTCAATACTTAGAGAACCTTGAAGTTCTCGACTTCTATATGCCTACTGAGTTTCAGCAGAGGGTTGGTCCCAGTGGAGAAGATCATTGGATCATCAAACATATACCCCATGTAAATTTTATCACGAAAAGTCCTTATGTGCTATCTTTTGAGAAGATATCAAGACTATTTCGTAGAACAAGACAAAACGATGTTGATCCAACTGACTAACTTGGAACACCAGCCTTTTAATTTCTAAAGGTGTGCTTTTTATCTTTATTAGTAGTTCCCATATATGGTTCTCCGTTTACTAGGATGAATCTCTGTTGAATTTAGGGAAAAGAGAAAAAATTAGGATGTTTCTGTATTCATCTGATGCAACTGTATAAAGTAACAAAGAAAAAAATAGCTCAAGCTTTTGGCAAATGTGTGAAATGGCAGGAATTGATCATACACTTGCTGAGAAGATGGAAATTCTTTTGGAGGGGCTGGACCAGGGATAATGGATGCTGTTACTCAAGGTTCTATGCAAGCAGGAAAACCTGCTGGTGGATTCAATATTGGAAAAGAAGCTGGGCAATGGTAATTTCAATCCATACTTGCCTTACCTCAACCGCAGGTAATCTACCACCAGTGCTCAATAACTTGGAATACAAATATGACTGCAATTGTTGCTTATATTGTTTTATCTTTTGAGTTTAGGTTTTTCTCTGGAAGGAAACACGGGGTGGTGGATGCTTCTGTGAAGATTAATTCTCTTGATAAGACTGCTGTTGTTGGCCTCGTGTTGATGAACTATGATTCATTTTATTCAAAGCTGCTTTACTTTTTAAATGATTGTGAGGAATCTGTGATGGAGAGGTTGCATCATTGTGGCTGATTTCTGTTGCATTTCTTCTAGTCACAAAAGTAAGATGTAAGAAAATTGTATAGCACGCATGAATCACCCTCAGGAATTTTGAATTCTTTTTCTGAATAAATTGTTTGACGTAGGATTTATAGTTGAGAGAGATATTTGATGTTTCGATGAAATAATATCCAACTTCTTGAGCAATTGGATCCCATAGAACAACTCAAGACAGAACCCTCTTAAGTATCATTCCTTTGGAATCAGTAGAATCTTAAACACTCTCGGACACTGTGCATCACTATAATGATGAGTTCATTATCATTTCTATAAGGATTTACGTAATACTTGACAAAAGTTCAAATATTTACCACCTAATCATATGTTTTTAAAAATTGGAGTGATCATTGAACCAGTCAAGGCGTTAGATTAAGGTTCAATGGTTCAAGGGGTAATTAAACCGGGATCAAATCCATATTAGATCAAAGCCAAAAGTTCATATCATTGTAACTAAGTTTGGATGAGTTTATAAACTGGCTCAGGTCACTAACATTACAATAATCTGCATCGCAGATCGAGTCTCGTTAAAGTCTCAGTAAGACTAGTATAAAGGGTAACTACTAGCGTGATACGATAGACATATTACATGAATAATGGTGAGAAGATATATCATGATTTAAAATTTATCTGGTTCGAGGAAAACTTCGAATGAGTTTTAATTTAATTTCCAAAACCAGAGTTTGATCTCCTTGTGTATTCTTCAACCAGTAGAGCTAGAGATGAAGATTTGTTCTTAAGCAGTTTCTTTGGTGAATCATATTCCTCAATCAACCCTGCAACATCAATATGAAAATAAATCATATTCGCATTTATCATGTGAAATGTAATGAACAAAAGGAAAGAAATTAAGTGATGTTGCATGCATGAAATTGATTGGCCTGGGGGAGATTTTGTTACCTTTGTTTTCATAGCTTTCTGGGTAAATTTACAAAAAATGTAATTATCATTTCTTTAAACTAAGACCAAACAAGAAGAAGAACAAGATAGAGTGATGCTTACCTTGATTTAAAAACAGAACCATGTCACTATCGATGATCGAAGTTACCCTATGAGCAATGGTAATGACCGTGCATTCAGCAAAATGTTGCTTAACTGTTTGATGAATAATATTATCTGTAGCTGTATCAACTGATGCAGTAGCCTCATCAAGCACCAAGATCTTGCTTTTCTTAAGTAGAACACGACCAAGACAGACCAATTGTCTTTGACCCATACTCCAATTTTCTCCGTTCTCAGTAACTGCAAAAAACTCACAATCATAAGTAGTACATTTTTACTACATTCACACACCTGCTATGTCTATGTTCAAAGTTTTGAGAAGTCAAACCTATGGAGTCAAGCTTCCCTTCTTTTTTCCTTACTTCATCTCCAAGTTGGCACATCTCCAAAGCCTGAAATATTTCTTAAAACAAATTAGTAAGTACACCATGCACTAAAAAGATGAGTTCTTTGTAATGTCAAACACACCCAATTTACCTTCCAAATCTGGTCATCTGTGTACTCTTCCAGTGGATCCAGGTTGGTTCTTACAGTCCCTTCAAACATTGTTGGTTCTTGAGGAATAATGCTTAGTCTAGACCGCAAATCATGAATTCCGATCAAAGTGATGTTAATACTATCTATCAATATTTGTCCAGCAACAGGTTCAATAAGTCGGAAAAGTGTTTGCACTAGAGTTGTTTTTCCGCTTCCTGTTCTTCCCACAATACCAGTTTTTGCTCCAGCAGTAAAAGTACAAGTAAGACCTCGTAAAACAATAGGCAAGTGAGGAGCATATCGAACCTGCATAACACAGCTCCTCATTGCAGTTATATGCCATAAGAAAATATAATTAGCCTTTAGTTCATAATGGAACAAACAAACTTTGAAATGTACCTGTAAATCCTGGATATGAACCTCCCCAAATGATGGCCAAGAATCTTCCGGTTGGTTGTCTTTAATCACAAGAGGAGCTTCGCTTGGGAGGGATGTGTACTGGAGTATTCTTTCAACAGATATAATTTTGTTCTCCAAAGTGCAAAGGAACCAGATTATATTAGTCTGTAGAGAGTTTAGATTAAGTCCGTATGTCACAGCCAATCCAGCAATGCCTTGAAAAAAAAAAAAAAAAAACAAGAATTGAAGTAAAAAGGAATGAAATTTTAGTGTCATAAGAAGTAAAGTTTGACTAATAAATGTATGTAGTTTGAAGACTCACTAGGAGTAGTTATTGAGTTTGGAAAAGATATCAAGAACACCAGACAGAAGGCAAATATGAGAGTGGATAAAACATCCAATCTGAAATTCAACCATTCAATTGCAGTAGCACTGTATAATTTAGGCTGGGAATATCTGTCTATCAATTTCAAATTTATATCATTAAATCTTGATTCTTGCTCAAAACTTCTTATGGTTGTTGATCCTGAAATTGTTTCTGAAAAATGTTGTATAACTGGAGCTTGACATGTACCAACTAATCGTGCCAATTCCCTCGCTGATGCAGAATAGTATCTCTGCATTTATAGAAGCACTATGTTGGCATAAATGACATTATTTGCACAATAGTATCAGTCAGATTAGTATTTCTTTCCCCTCTCAAAACTTGAGAAATATGATAACATTATAAACACTTTAAATGCTTAATAAATGAGGAAATCATGGTGCCATGCAAAATTAAACATAGATAATGGAAGTCTAAATCAAATTCACTTGGTGACATCTGCAGTTCTTGTTGTCAAATAATATATCTTAAGACATTATCTATAAAACTACCTGGTACCATATGCATGCTGCCATCACAGGAATCAATACTATAAACACCTGCCACACAGCTTGAGAAATTACAACAATATTTCCCAAGAATTGAAGCAAATTGAGGGTAATTGCCCATACTAAGCTTGGAATGTCCACATCTAATGCACTTTGGTCTGTTGAAGCCTGAAACAAAATGATAAACTATATTGAATATGCCATTTAGGGGGAAAAATAGAGAATTGAACTTTCGAATTCAATGCAATAATAAGCAATATAATCAGGTAAATAAATTGTCTCTTCAAATTAAACCAATGAAGAATTATCAACATACTATAACATACTCTATTAAGGATTCGTCCACTTGGGGTGGAATCAAAAAAAGATATTGGTGCTCGAAAAACACAAAAATGCATTTTACTGAAGAGCATAGTGGCTGTCTTGTATCCAGCTATCACACCAAGAAATGATCTGGCAAGGGTGAAAATTGAACTTCCAATTGCCAAAGCGACATAGACAACCATAAGTGTAAAGCTTCCAATATCAGGTTCACCAGTTACTGAAACAGGAGTCGCCACAGTCATCCAGTAATTGCTTGCAATCTGAAAACCCACAGTGAGTGTCTGAGCTAGTAATATGAAGGGTACAAGAGCTCCTCCATAAGCTGTTGTGATGTATTTCCAGTATACATTAAACCCAACTCTACCCTTTTCCCGTTCTTCTTCTTGAACAAGTTGTCCTTTTGATTCATTTGGGTCATCTATACTATCATTTTGATCATATTTATTTTCCTCGTTTTGCTCAAATTCTAAATCAGTTAATGAATTTTTGTTCTCCTTGGTGGTACTTGATTGTTTAAATGTTGGTCTTCTCTCTAAGGACATAATTGATGAAGATAAAGCTGCTCTGTGTGCATCTACAAGTTCCATAAAATCAGTCCCTGACCTGAGAATGTCATTGTATTTTCCTGACTGAGTTATTCTTCCTTCTCTCATGACCTAAATAAATTTTGTAAGCAAGAGAAAAATACTGAGAGAATAGTAAATTGACCAAACGCGGATGTTAGAGTTCTTGAGCATGAAATCTATGAATCACTCACCAATATCAGATCAGCATCAGGTAAGAATTCTACTTGATGAGTTATGTATATCACAGTTTTTGATTTTAGAAGGTCAAGCAAGCACTCCTGAAACAGTGTAGAGTAATGAAAAATCAGATTACAGCCTATCTATCCAAATGCAAAAGAAAAAAGTCGCGGATCTATGTTTAAAATTTATCTCCTATTAAAGAGAAAAAGAAGAATCCAATTGTGCGAAGCTATATCTGTAAATACAGTTTAGATAAAATAGCACCTTAAAGAGATGAGATCCCGTATGAGCATCCACCGCACTGAATGGATCATCAAAAAGATATATATCAGCATCTTGGTATAGAGCACGGGCTATTTGCACTCTTTGCTTCTGTCCACCACTCAAATTGATACCTTTCTCTCCAACAATGGTCTGATCACCAAATGGTAGAACCTCAAGGTCTTTTGTCAAGGAACATGCTTCTAGCACCTTCTCATACTTTTCTCTATCCATCTTTTTACCAAATAATATGTTGTCTTCTATCTTGCCACTCTGTATCCATGGCGATTGAGAAACATAAGCCTTTGTTCCGCATATTTTCACGGTCCCAGATATCTTTGGTACTTCCCCTATAATACAAGAGAGTAAACTAGACTTGCCTGATCCAACAGTACCACATACAGCAACCCTCATACCATGAAAAACTGTGAGATTTATGTTTTTCAATGTTGGATTAGAAGAAGATAAATCCCAAGAGAAATTTCCATCTACTAATTCAATTGCCTTATCAGAACTACCCCGAGGAAGCTTCTCTACTACATCAGTGTGCAACTCTTCTAAACGAAGAAATGATGCAATCCTTTCAAGAGAAATCCTAGATTGTGCAATCAATGAAATCGTGTCAGGAAGAGAGTAGATAGGAATTTGAAGAATTCGGAATGTTGCAAGTGCAGATAAGACCTTTCCTGATTCAAGTGGGATGCCTATAAGAACACAAGTACCAAAAGTAACCACTGCAATAAAAGTTGGGGCACTATGGAAGAGAAATCTAACGATTGCTGAACCAGCTAGAAATTTCTTTAGCCATATCTCCTCAGTTTTCCTAAGCTCAATAACCTTTGATAAGAACTTCATCTCCCATGCTTGCAGTTTTAGAATCCTCATATTCTTTAGAATCTCAGATGTAGCCTTCATTCTTTTATCTTTGAACTCCATTACCTTGCCTTGAAACTTTTCTTGCAATGATGCCACAGGATGGTTAAGCAACATCACAATTACAGTGGCAGCAAGAGCAGCTATTGAAGCAACCCCTACACTTCTGTAGAGAATTAACAAGGCTAGAGCAACTTGCAAAACACACATCCAGGGTCGATGCATGTACCAACAAAATTCTCCAATCCTTGCAGCATCGACAGTCATTAAGTTGATGATTTCCCCAGTGCTATGAACCTCCTTTGATTGGCACGAAAGTGTCAAACCTTTTGCATAGATCATTGCCACCAACTTTGATTGCATTTGAACTCCAACCTGCTGGTACCTAAACATGCAATGCCTATCTGAAACACTCTCCAAAAGCTTTGCAGCAACAAATGACGCAGCCAAAATATATCCTTCATTTTTTAACATGTGTTCTCCATTTAGGTATTGAACAAGGGTGTCAATAAGAAAGGGTCCAACATAAGAAGCACAAGTATACAGGAATGCAAATAAACCTGATAAAAGGATCCCTTGCCTTGTTGACAAGAATAACACCTTCGCCAGCTTAAGAGTGGTCACATTTCGAACACTACCACACTCTGACTCTAGTTTATTTCTAAAAGTTTGAAAAAGCCCATAGGCACTGCAATCAGTGGCAAGAAGTGGGATGTCCTCGTGGTTTAAAGTCTTCTCATTGCCTAGTGCTATTAATGGGCTGATCCACGAGAAAGTGAGAATAGTGAAAAATCCAGCATTTGAATATCGGGTTAAATTTTCATTTCCTTTAGTCTTACTGGGATCAGAAGTGTTGCTTGCACGGGAGTCACCATTTAGAAGGGGCTCTTCAAGTGGGGAAAGCTTAGCCATATTGTTAACAGAACATCCAACATAACATAGATTAAACCTGGAATAGAGGAACCTATATAAGAAACAAGGTATATAATTTGGAACAAAACATACAAATTCAACCACATGAAAACAAGAAGAAACAAAAAGCATAGACCCAGCAACAAATTCTCAACAAACATGGGAAACTAGGATCCTATGCGTTGGAATCTCTGGGATGTAAATAAGCATAAACAACACCCTTAAATACTGTTTTGAGGGTCAAATCAGAAACTGTGACAAGCCCTTTGAACCATCATGTAAAAGTAGTTTAGTAAGCATAACACAAGGTTGAACACACAAATAACTCACCTACAGATCAGACATGCAGGAAACCAGAATAAGGGAATTCAATGCTCTCACTCTTTTCTCTGTGGTCGTCCACTTTCACTTGTTCTCATAGCCATGACTCAAGAAGCATAATTAAGAAGACTTGAAGGAGTGAAGCACACAACTTTCATAAAGTGTTTGAAATCAGTTGGATAGTGCATCACGGAAGAAAATTAGTGAGGGACTGTAGAATATGATATGAATATACCTTTACTTGGTGACTTGTTTAAGAAAATTTCCCATAACTTGTGTGGTAAAATGTGAGGACACAGTACTAAGGTTTCATGTATAAATTCAAGCCTTCTGCATTGAATATACATCATTCCATTTGGAGATAATGTAGCATCCTCTGTTTAAAAAGTAGTGTTATATTCAGATACAAAAGTTTAGAGCACAGTAAAATTTCAGTTTCAAGTTTTGACTCTATTTCAGTGTTGCAAATAGTTATCATATATGCTTTGTTAGTTAACATACTTCAAACAGCTTAATCAAGCAAGGAGCTTCCCTGGTTGGATAGACTTTTGTTGTTGAAGAACAATTAATGGTTGACTTCTTCAAGTAGTTCTTAAAGAATAATAAACCGTCAAGTAATAGCCTTCTTTCTTTAAGTACTCTTTGAGCAGAACATTAATAATAACATACCATAACACATCAAAAATATTAAATAATATACAATATAATGACAATAAAAACTACTAAAAGTATATGCAAAAATTTAATTCAAATATAGAATACTGTTAAGTTAAAGTTCAATAGTTAAAATATAAAAGAAATTAATAAATGTTTTAATTTTTTTTTCCACTTTTTATGAAAAATTATAATAATCACTACAATAAATTTATTTAGTATCAATTAATTTAGAGGCAACAAATATCTAGCCATTATACTGAACAAATTATTTTAACTAAATTGATTTGTGAATTATAATTTAAATTATTCTCTATTTTTAACTATCAATATTTTAGCTACTACATAAAAATTAGACTTTAAATTAAATCATAGGATAAATAAATTGTTTCGTCAACCCTAATATTTATCCATTCAAAATTGTTAATAAATATGATTTTTAGTTCAATTTTTAATGATTCAAAATGGATTAATGATTATTTTATCTAATATTATTCTTGGAAATAATTATTTTTCCGTTTTATTTATAACTAGCTATACGAAATATCTATTTTAACTTAAGTTAAATTTTTTTTACATTGAGAATCAATTACAAATCGGTTTTTAATATTTTTAATGTAATTAAAAAGAAATAAATAAATTTAACCGCCTAATTATTTTGTGATTGGATGGTATTATTAAAAAAAAATATTTACTCAATTGTTCGGGGTCGAGATTAAGTGGTTTCCTACATTAAAAGGGGCAATCCAAGATCATATCATAGATTAAATAAAAATAATAACAATGTAACATCATTTATAATTTCAAATGAATTCTAATTTTTTTATAGAGATTAAATGAAAATAATAATAATAATGTAACATAACTTATATTTTAAAATGAATTATATTTTTTTATAAGTCCAATTATATGTTAATTCAAAGGTTAATGATTAATTTTGATTTAATTAAAATAACAATAATAATAATAATATGTATATAAAAAAATAATTAATTAAAAATATTTTTAAATATAAAATATATTTTTATTATTTAAATTATATTAATAAATTAATTTTTATTTTAAGTATCAATATTTGATATATAAATTAGAAAAAATATTCATCCACCGTAAAAAGTTAAAGATTTACTTTTTAATATTATAATTTATTTTTTAATAATATAATAATTTATTTTAATTATTAAATTTTAAAATAAATTAATATTAAAATTTTATTATATATATATATAATAAAATATTATTATTCAAAAAATATTATTATTTTATGAAACAAACTAATCCATAAATTTAATTTTACTTAAATCTCTAATCTAAAGGGATTAGATTCAATTAGGTCAAGAGTAACTAATGTTTTAAAATTTGATCGATTATTAAATTAATAAAAATATGTGTTTAAAGTTTAAAGATTCAATTAATCTAAATTTAATAAAATAATATTTTTATAATATAATAAATTTAATAATAATATTTTTTATAAATAAAAATAATAATAAAAATTATAAATTAAAATATATTAAAATATATAAGATAGATAATTATTAAAATAAAAATATAATAAACTAATTATTATTTAAAATTGATATAATTAATAGAAGATAAAAAAATAAATTATATTATATTTTTTATAAAAATTTATATTAAAAAAATGTATTCTAAATATATTTTTATTACTAAAATCGATTTGATCCTCGATTTCTTTTTTATTTTAGTCCATTTCAATTAAAATTAGATTATTTAAAAATAAAAAATAAATTTCTAGCGATTCTCTATTCAACTGATTGATTTAATCAGTTTGGATGGAAGTTAAGATATTTTAATACCCAGAAATCATAGAACATTAGATTGACAAGTCATTTTCCTAGAAAACGTGAATGAACCCAATTAGGGTTTGTTTGTGACGTTTGTGGAAGTAAATGTCTTTTGGTTCGTAGTCAATAAAGCAAGGATTTTTGGTTCCTTTCAAATCCAATTCACGTGCTTTGACTCACTTTTAAATCTCACAAGTAGCCAAGCAATTTGTTTGGTCACTTCCAAATAAAACCTAATTTTTATAAAGATTTTAAAGGGTATTTTTTGAACACATAAATTAACTTAGGTTTCATTTTTTTCAAGATAATGTGGACCTGACTCAGCCAAGACTAAAGTAGAGAAGTCTGAATTCTCTTTGAGAAAAAAAAGATGATTGAAAAGTTAAGATTGGAAGATGCTAAAGTGAGGATGTAATATTATTAAACATTTTCTCTAGATTCCAGTTTTTTTTGTTTTATCTCATAAATTGTATTTAAAAGAGAGTGCAGAAAAGAAAATTTATAGGAGAAAACAATTTATGCAACAAGCCTGAATACTGTTTTTAAAAAGAAATTTTTAATTTTTTTAGTTTTTAAAAACTAAAAATTGTGTTCATTAATTATTTTGTTAAAAATGATTTAAAATATAACTTTTGTTTTTTTTTTCAAAAACTAAAAAAATTAAAATTGATAAAATGCATTTCTAATTTTTTTTTATTTTTTTTCAAGCATAATTCTTTATAATTGATTTTTAAAACTAACTTTAAACAAATTATTATTCTTCGTTAATCATTCATTTTTTTATATAATTTTAAAATATAAAATAATAAAAAATAAATAATCATAAAAATAAATCTCTAATCTTTATATTTATACTAGTGGAAACATAGTTCATTTTAGTATTTATATATCTATATTTTTTATAATTAATTTTTAAAATTGTTCCATTTTTAAATGCATCCACTTTTTTCTTCTAATTATGTGTTATATTTTTTTTATATAGTTTATCATTTTTTAAATAAATAAATGATAATAATTATCTTTAGTTGATAGAAAAAAATAGAGAAAGAAAGATAAAATTGAATTAAAATTATCCCTAAAAGTGATATTAAAAAAAATATTCATTTTAAAAAATAAATAATTAAATTAAAATTAAATATTTATTCAATTATAAAACTATCTCATATAATTATTAATTATTTTTTATTAATAAAATAAAAATCATTTCTTTAAATTATACATTTCATCTTTTGAATAATATATACTTTAATATATAATTATAAAATATTTTTATTATATTTTCTTAAAATGATTTGAAATTGAATTAATAAAATAATATCATATTAAACCAAATTAAAAATATATAAAATTATTTGTTTAATTTTATAATCATTTTCATATTCATAATATTGTATTATAATAATAATTAATATATATTAAAATTTTAAATATAAAAATTAAATAATCATTTAAATAATATTTTTTTATTTTTTTTTACCTTACAAGAAAAATAGTTTTTTTTCGGAGCCTATTCCATTCCATGATACTCTTATTTCTCTTTCCCATGAAATCAAAACAGGGTACAAAACATACAGAATCATATATATATATATATATATATATATATATATATATATATATATATATATATATATATATTATTTATTTTTAAATTTAATTAGAAAATTATTTTAATAATTTAAAATAATATTACATCTTCTAATTATATAATAATAATAATAATAATAATAATAATAATAATAATAATAATAATAATAATAAATTTATAATTCTGATATGAAATAATATTTCTTCTCATTTATCACATTCTTCATATAATCTTAGAAAATAGGATAGCATGTTGAATTTCACCTAGCAAGTTATCAAGTTTAGGAATAGGTTGCCTATACTTTAGGTTGTTGATAGGTCTAATATTTTTCACCTACCGTTTTCCTATCAAACCCCTTTACTTGCCTTTGAATTTCTTTATATTCCGCCAACTTTGTTCTATGAGTCAGACGTTTAGGCATAGATGAATCAGGTATAAAGTTAACTTGACGTTCTTGTAAAATATCCTGAATTCACAAAAAACTAACTCTAGACTTTTAGAAAAATTGGAGGATTGTTCATGAAATGTAGAAAATGACCCAGAGGAGGATAAGCTAAGAATAGAGATTTATATGCTATTAATACCCTCTTAATTCTCTTGTGAGAGATCATAATACCCTACGACTTTTACTCTTTTTCTTATTCTTCTTTTTTTCTTTTTGTGAAGTTTTTTGTTGGTCCTCATTAACATCTTGTGGGGATAGAGGTTTCAGTGTAATCTTATACCCTAGGAAGTTAAAAGAAAATATGTTGATATAGCCATCATGAAAAGTTTGTTTGTCAAATTATCATGGCTTACCCAGTAAAATATGTAAAACTTTCACAGGCACAACATCACAAAGAACCTCGTCTTTGTATTTTCCTATCGCAAAGCTAATAATATTTACCTCAATTTCACCTTCCTCACTAAGTCAAGAAAGCTTGTAAGGTTTGAAATAAAGAGTAATAGGTAGACCAAGCTTGTCTACTACCCTTGTGCTAGTCACGTTCATACAACTTCTTTCATCAATGATTAATGAACACAACTTGTTATTAATGAGGCAGCGAATATGAAAAATGTTTTCTCTTTAGAAATTGTCATGGTCCTTTTGGACTTGACCCAACATCTCTCATTATTAACAAATCGTTTTCACAATATTTGATCTCTTCCTTGTTAGAGGAATAGTGTTCAAAAGAATTCTCTTTAAATGGAGAGGGGAGAGAAGAATACTCACTATTGATGTTTCCACTTGCACTTAATATTATAGTTCTTTTGATAAGGTAATTAGAAACAATGTACCCATACCTTAAGCATTTAAAACATTTAATTGAACTAAACATTTGAGGAGCGGTGGTGTTACGAGTAGGATTTCTAAACGTGTTGCTTGATATCAATAATTTGATGGTACAAAATACTGATTAAAAAATAATAAACAAATTGTTAAATTAATATAATATAATTAACCTACGTTGAATCTCACAAACACATCATTATACTAACATATTCATTATTCCATATTATTTTCTATAAAATAGTAAATAATAATAAATAGGTACGAATGAGAAGTGAATCAGGGGATTATGTCAAATCCTGCCATTAGGGTATTATTTCTTTATTGTTTTATAGATATATTTTCCCAAATTCAACAGAAATCTCATCTATTAAAATTGCATACATTAATATTTTCACTGGATGTCTTTACGATCTTCACAGCACCAAAAAAAACATCTCCCTAGATATCATCATAGACAAATATTGATCAATCCAGAATTCAAACATCCTCACTGGATATTAATGGCGAGAATGAACATAGAAGGGTTCAATCCAAATTCTTTCAACAAAATTTTCATGAAATTTTCTGAAACTCGTTTATCCACCTAAACAAGCTATTTTTTATTTGAATTCTAACACATAACACTCCCTTTTCAAATCTTAACCCCACCTACAAGTAAATGGAATACCAAGAAACGTAGTACTCTAACTTAAATTTCATCCAAAACCATCTAAGCTTCACAACGTCATTAATATTGCATTTTTTTCATCAAAATAGCATATTTAATAAGGTCACATCAGCACACCAAAAATAAGAACAGAGCTAAATTTTTTCCATACAGCCTCAAATTCTAGTATAGAAATCAAGAAAAGAACCACAAAGATGACAGGGTTTAGGACTTGTGGAAAACCCTTCTTGAAAAATCACAAGAACAATATCAACAAAAAAAAAAAAAGAAAATTTGTTGAGAGAAAATGCTTAAGCACAAGGATTTTGTGGTGAGGAGCCCAAAATCCTAGTTCTTCCTTAAAACATTATCAAACTGTAGCAAACCATATGGATGAATTGGTGCTCCCCTAAATTGGTTCTTCCTCCTCCCCCAAGAGTCACTCCTAGCCTTTTCAAAAAATAAAAATCAAATTGTTAGTTTGATTTACATTGGAAGAGAATGAAAGGAGTAGATGGGGTGATGAGTGTCAGTTTTTAAAATTAGAAAGGTACCTACTTTATGCATTTTTAGAAACTAAAATGGTAGTTTTACACTTTCTTTATATTCATTAAGTAATACTATCTTTAACTTCTGTTGGAATGATTTAAACAAAGGAATGTAAAGCATATACTAGTAGGGAGAGAAAAAAAAAGTAAAAATATCAGTTTAGGAATTAGGAAACAGTTATATTTCTATTATGAAAGGAATAAGGGAAACTTAACACTAATAAGAGAAAAAAATGCACCTTTCCTTTCTAAATCCAGATACTCTATAAATCCTAACTCTGCTCTCTTGGCCCTGAGAAAAGCAATGATGCTAACATGGGGCACATGTTGGATCATCCAATGTTTTTCTCCTCCATTGGGAGCAATGATGTCTTCAAACTCAATGGGGCATTAATCCAATTTGGCAACTTCTTCAACAAGCCAACCAGGGAAAGTGTGCTAAGTGTAGATAAAGATGGCATAGAGTGCAAGTCAATTAGTTCATTGTCATCTTCTGTCCAAATAACTAATGTCTTCAAGTGTTGCATTGCATCTCATTAATTGAAGAACATACTTAGCTTTCATATCTTTTCCAAGGATGCCATGCCTCCAAGACTATCCTTCAGAGAATTGGAAGATATTCTGTTAGCCAGAAGATGATGTAGCTTTCTAAGCTTGCTAATCTCCTTTGGCATCTCAGACACATTTGTTTCTCATGCATCTGAGGTCTCTAAGTTCTGGAAATTACTAATGGATTTTGGAAGACTTTTTATCTATGTATTCCTTAAGATTAAATACTTCAAGTGGATTAAACTCCCCAGATTTTTAGGAACATGAGATAATCGAGCATATTCAAAATCAAGTACCTTCAGTGGCATGTATTTTATAACGATTCCGCTGATAAAGTTTTTAGACAACTCTTCCTTTGTGAAAATTAGAATTGACCGAACGTGTGATCTTTCGATACTTCCACTTGACACCAACTGATTATGCTCAGCAATATCATGAGAAAACCCTGTATCCTTGAGCTTCCCAAGGATCATTCCATGTATTGAGTCATGAACACGACATCCTCCAACTTTGCCATCTACGGTTAATGAAAATATACTTGCACCAAACTTATACTGATCAACTACTGTTGTGCAACTTCTTCCAAAGTCTTCAGCTATCCACTGCCTAATCAATCTTTCACATTTAACTTCATAGTCTTCAGGATACATCCCAAAATACAGTAAACATGATCTAAGATTGGAGGGCAAATCATTGTAATTTAAACTTAAAATTTTTGTTATAATGTTTAACTAAGAATTCCTCTCTGAGTTAAAACTTGGATTTTGACTCAACCGATTCCATTCAGTTGCACTTTTATATTTCCTATATAAAAGACCACAATTGCTAGAGGCAAACTTTCACACTTTCTAACAATTTCAAGACCTCATCTTCATATTCTGCCTTTTTTACATAACAGCGTTAAAAAAAAAACCCAATTTTACGTACTAGGGTCGAATTCGAAAAAAATTACGAAAATAGGTTAAATAGTATTTGGATACACGATATTTTTACTGAATTTGTAATTTCAAGGACGTGTTTGCTAGTCAAAGCTAAAATCATATTACATAAAGATTGTTTTCTTTTTATTATTTCCTTCAAAAATTGTGCTATGTGCAATGATTTTCACTTTATTTTTTATTTTTTTATAATTTTTGTTATTAAAGTCATGTTCACTCCAATTGGTGAAACACAATGGAAACTCATTTGTATATTGTTTTACCGAGGTAAATATGATAGACAAGATGTTTGTCGAGCTGAAGATGGTTGGCAAGACAAGAAGATAAAGTCGATTGGCTGATCTTCGAACCAGCTTTGAAGACAATCTCCGAAAGCGTAGATGCCCACCAACAAAAGGCACTCCACTCAAGTCAGCTATTAGATAATAGATTGATGTATATAAGAATAAATTATAAGATGAGATTATTCCCAAGTTAGATTCCTTTATATAGTATTAAAAAATATTAATGAACTGTGATATAATTAATTGATAGACTATAAAATAATAATTATTATAAGATATTATAACAAAATAAAGATAATTAATAACAAAATAAATAAAAAGTAGTTTTTTCAATGGATTTGGGCTGGTAAACATGGTTAAGTGGCACAATAGTTTTGAATCGGGTAGGTACATATATAAATACTTGAAAATATTTCTTTTAAAATAATGTGGGACTTGAAGGAAGAAGCAGAACATTAAAGAAAGGAGAAAATATCAATACTTAACTAAGTCTAAAAGGGATTACACCTTGCCTTAGCATATTTTCAACCACGCTAACATATTTACAACCATTGAAAGCATAAGAATATATAAACTCTTCAATATACATATTATTAAAGGCCAAAGTAGTCTCACATCTCCTAATATATTGAATGTTGAAGAGGAAAACCACATATATATAATCCTTTGTGCAATATTTTAGAAAAGAAAGCAACAATGGAAACCCAATCAAAGAGAAAGCAACAATGGAAACTCAATCAAAGATAAACAGAAAAGAAAACAACAATGGAAACTCAATCAAAGATACACAGAAAATAAAACAACAATGGAGTAGTACGAACACTCACCACAGGGTCGCTCAAGCGAGAGACAGTGATGTTCAGCGAGACAAAGGTCGAACGAGACGGAGGAAGACAAACGAGAGGAGAGGAACCCTAGGTCGAGCAAGAGAAAGGTATTGTAAACATATATTTCACTTTTTACAAATTCATCCCTCCATTTTTATAATATTGCATCTTTGACTCTTATAATTTATTAATGAAACCCTAATTTTTAATTAATTTATGTTTTCTCCCCACTCGTCGAACGGATGTTTTTTCCCTGGTTGTCAAAGTATCGTTTTCATTTAATTAAAATCAAACTTTGTTAGTGAAACTTGTTTAGAGGAATTTGTGCTAAAGTTTGTTAGAAGCTCGAGAAAGAATTTTATTTTTAAAATTAATAATTAAATTGAAATTAATTATTTTATAAATAACATGTTTAAAAAAATCAACTAATCTTGTTTTAAAAAAATTATACTAAATTTGTGTCAAGTAGCATGATTTTAAGGAAAAAAATGAATCTTATGTTACCTAGTAGCGACATAATGAATACTGTGCTATCAAGCACAATTTAAACAAAAAAAAAATTAGTTACAACTAAAATCGTGTTAAATTATTAAATTTTTATTATCCTATTTTTGTAATTTTTTTCAAATTTGACCGATCTAATCAAACTATTGGGCTTTTTTTTAACCGTGTATTGTAAAAAAACCTCGTATTGTTTTGGACAACATCCATCAAAACCATACCCAACTGCCTTCTTACATAATTTCTTTATTGAAAGGTTCTAACTTATGCACCTCAACAAATGAAGATTTCTTACAAAACTCCGCAACGTTCTCACCCCCGGTAATGATTAACATCCTGTTATTTTTGTTATCAATTAGAACTAATTCAGTGTCATCCCAAAATGTTTCATTCCATATGTCGTCAAACAAAACAACATACCTCTTATTGCGCAAGCGATTTGAGTTCTATCAACGACCTTGATCCATAGTAGAAAGATTCTGAGGAGGATGTTCCATTTTTTTTCTTTGAAAAACTTGTTCATCACATCCCTCAGTAATCCTTCAACAGTGTAGGGTTGAGACACTATGATCAATGCATGGCACTCAATGCATATGCATAAACTATCATAACAAGATGTGTATATATGCATTCATTTTGTGAAAGGTTTTAGCAACGAAGAGCATTTGCATTTCTGGGTACCACGAAAAACTTAGGGGTAAACATGAATGCCATGATACACAACAACGATTTTCCTATTATACCATCAATACATGCAGACAAAAGAATTGCAGTTCCATAACAAGGGATGCATGATCATAGCTTGGAGAAAAATTCTATGAAGTTCTAGGAATACAGAAAAAAGAATCGTGGCCTTTGACCCAAGTAGGATCTAATGCCAGACAAATTGTTTGGAATTTGATCTAATACAATGATCTGATTCCCTTTTATCAAATGCTAACAATAGTTACAGCAGCAGTTCAGCTAGTAATGCTCCTGATATATTGCTCCAAATTCTGCTCTCCATGCCTGATCATCGTATGTATAGGAGGAAGCTGCATTGTGTCCCACATCAGAATCCTCTCTATACAGTGGTTGCAATGCAGACTCAGGTAATTTGCTATCTGTAATGTACTGCTTCATGGTATTAATCTCTGTCTTGTGTTTTCTTTTCAGCTTCTCAATTTGCATCTTCAAATTTTCATTATCTTGCTGCATATTTGTAAAGTTCTCCTGTGTAACATAAGAAATATAATATTCAAGAAATGGATTAAAATATGTTAAGAAAGAACATTTACTGAATCTTCCCAACTACAGTTACTGATTCCTCTATTGTTTCCTTCAACAGCGGCATAGAAATTAGTAGAATATAAATTATATAATCCATCTTAAGAACTCTGTTTCCTTTTTCTCTTTGAAAAAATAATAGAATGACTGAAGTACAATTCATGCTGTATTCCCAAAGGTGTCTTTCCTTGTTAATTTGGTATTACTTAAAAAGCCTAGTCCCTTTTCTTTTTTTTCTCCTGTTTATTTGGTAATTAGTGAGTCAAACAAAACACCATCCCAAATGAACACCAGAATTGACTCCCGTAAAAAATGATGCATTGATTCTGGAACCTTGAGATAGAATTGTACCTCTGCAACAGCTGCTGCATGTTCAGCCTCTCTTAGCCTAACAAGTAGTTCTCCAGCGGCCTGAACAGCTTCAGCAGTATCTCCAAGTTGAATCTTCAAGTTCTGGTTCTCCTTTTTCAATAATTTTGATTCCCTTTCTCTTTCCACCCTCAATGCTGAAAGCTCAGCAGAAAGAGATTTGGCAAAGCGTGCATGACCTTTTTTTGAAGCTTTCGCTGCTGCCTTCTTCACTTCTGCTATGCCTTCCATCAATGCATCATGTTTCACAACCAAATCATCATATTTTTCTTGTAGATCAGCATAGTGTTCCACCATTCTAGCATGTCCCATAACTGCTCTCTTTAGCGCATCATCTATCTCTGCTGTGCACTTCTTCTCAGAATTCAGTTCCATCTCCAACCTCTCAGTACGTTGGCGATATGACTCAAGATCAGCTCTAAGTTCATCAGTAAGACAAATCCACTCACTTTCCATTTCTGTCCATCTCTGCCTTTCATTCTCTAGCTCTTCGTTGCCATTATCATAACAAAATACTCCGCCATTTTTCAGTTGTATGGATCTTGACATCAAAGAAGACCTTAGTTTGTCAGTAGACTTTTTAACTGGTGCATCACTACATAATTGCAGCTTGCTCCTTAGATTCTGAATTTCCTTAAGAAGAGACTCCTTCTCAGTTGAATCAAAAGAGACGTCTCTTTGGGCTAACTCTTCCTGCACTTCTTTAATTTCACATTTTTCCTCTATAATACATGGCAAGTGACCATTTGAGGAAAATCCCCTTAGAAGCTGTAAATGATATCAACCAAAACAAATGAAAACTAACTATCAACTGGGTAGACTTTATAATTATAAACATAAACTATAAATATAATACATTCAACTGACTTTTTCTTCATCTTTCATTGAGTTATACAAAGTAATTGTGTCCAGTTCTCTCTCCCCTTTCAAATTCTCCACCTGTCGATAAGGCACGTTATCAATCAATGTAAAATCAAACCACATAGTTCATTATTGAATAGGGGAAGAATATTAATACCAACTGATTTAGTTGCTCAATTCTAGCTGCTTGCCCCTTGCAAACATTCTCGATCTCCTTCTCTTTCATGATGCTTTTTGCCATTACATTCTGCAAGTGCTAAATGGCCAAAAAATGGATAGACGAGGTCAAGACAAAAAAAAAAGAAGGCATTTAATAAGATACTTGAGAAAATTAAAATAAAACATACTTGTTGTACCTCACTGGAATCCAGATTAGATATTTTGTTCCGGCAAGATCCACAAAGGAAAGCAGCTACTTCATCACTGGAAGCTTTCTGTAGTATTGTTTGGTCACAAGATTCAGCCCTGTCAATATCTAGACAAGGTGTCAAAGTTAAGTGCTCAAAGGAGAAGGAAGTTGAAGATTTGTTCAATGCTGAGTTATGCTGATGATAGTCAATAATCTGTAGTCCCTTCTGAAGGCTTGCTGCCAAGGACTCAGCTTTGCTTGACTGCAATGAGGATTGTTCATCCTCACCCTGTTTAAATGGTTTGTTCAACACATTGGTACTGAAAGTTGAACTCTCCGCTACATTGTTCCAACTTCCAAGATAACTTGATGAAATAGCCAAACTTTTCCTTTGAGTTTTGCTGAATTTTGGAGACTCGGACAACTGAGGTCCAGCAAGTACTGGAGATTGATTACCTGAATTGACTGAAATGCTATCTCTGAATGTAGTTTTAGTTATCATTGAGGGGTTGTTGCTCAATGTTTTTCTGCAGCACACCTCAGACTTTTCAATTTCATCACCACTGGTGGTGTCTGCATCACAATTTTCCTCAACAGAACAGAACTGGCCACAATTTTCATTGACAGATATGTCCTTTGGATTTCCTTCAGATGAACTATCCAATTCAACAATCTGCTGGCGTAATTGCTGTATGTCATCCTCATTGACATTTACACGCTCATCGGTATCACTATCTATGTTGGATAGGAGAAGAGAGCGGTTTAAGTTGACTCTCATCTGATTCAGGCTTTCCCGCACATTATGTCCTTGGAAGTAACCATCTTTACTCCCAGCTGAGCTATGAACATCAGCCTTTGCTCTAATAAGTTCTTCCTGAACCATAGAAAACAAATTGTAATTTAAAGACTTGCATTAGTTTGATCTTTCAATAACAGCTACCTACATGAGTCCAGGAATATACCTTCAAGTGTCTGACGTTAGTACTCAAATCAACATCAGTCTCCTTTATTACATTGATAACTGGTTCATTTCTGACGGATCTAACTTGCTCCCCAAATCTGAGTGTGCGCAGGGTTCCATCGTTACTCCTAGAATCAACAAAAGCAATTTTTATTTCTAGAACTCAAAAAAACCCTCCCATTACACTACACTCTAGACATGAATAAATTATGGTCTTCAATCCAGGTTAATACTTGTTATCAGGGGAGATGGAACATATTACTGAGAGTTTGGCATTTCCACCAAGTGGCTCTTGCAGTAAGCGTGTTAAACAGGAGTCGCTGTGTGGCATGTCTTCATTTTTTCCAGACTGAGATTTGTTAGTCAGAGCATCCACTAAATGCCTACACCAGATAAACATAACAGTGGTTACAAATAGAAAACAATCATGGTCATTTCCATTAATTAGTAATAGAAGCAATGTGTTAATTTTCTGTTTCAAAACCAACATACAAGAAAAACCCATCCCATCAGACTATAGAAATTATAATAAAACCCTGTGTGGATGAGCTTGTTTACAACTTACATAGGCTTATCTTATGACATAAGCACTTGTTTAAGTTTTTGGGAAAACTTATGAAAATAGCTTATGCATATCCATATGTTATTTTCACCTTATTTCAATAATAAGGTCTCCAAATAGCTTACAAAAACAACTTACAATTTACTGTTTACAACGTATATTAAAAATGTTTATCCCTTTTGTCTTTTTCATTATAGAAGTAGAAACAGCTTACACATAATACATGATAAACACTTGTTCAAAAAGTACTTAATTATGTTGTTAACCCAACATAGAAGTAATTTAGTCATGGCATCTTACTCAAGCCCAGATAGTGATTTCTCAACATGTCTGCTTTTCTTTGGACATTGGCTACCTCCATCACCAACTTCATCCCAGTCCTGTCCAGCAAGATCAATAAGGCTGATTCTGCTAGTTTTTGAGCTACTGGAAAAACCCTTTGTGGTTCCCTGTAACATCAGTTTATGAAAATCAGGTTTAAACGACAAAACTAATGAAGAAAGTTAACAATATAAGCCTTCCTTCTAACTTAGAAAATCAACGGTTTCCATACAAAACTGCTGGTGATGTTTGGTAGAATTATAAAAATTGACAGTATGTCTAATTGAAAATTTTCACAGTACCTTGCTCAAAGACTCAATGACAAATGTGAAAACTATGTGTGATCTAGAGCTATTAGAATTTAAGCTTGTCACTCCCTTTTTTCTCCTTGAAAGGCCCTGCAGCATACATAAACAAATGAACTTAGCTGATAAAGATTAAAAAAGAACTGCTGTCATTTATGGGCAAATACATTTTTCGCTTCTGATAAATTGAATATAGGTTTCAACATTATAATTTCTAGGCCCTAATGATTCCCTACCTTAATCAAAATTTGTGCCACATCATCATAGTTAGTGATGTATTCCTCAACCAGATTCTCAATATAAGGTGCATTTCTTGAATCATCCTTCATCTGCAATAATTGCGACTTAAGGTATAATTATATGACAAGCATGTAGCAACTAGAAACAGAAGAAACATAAAGCATACATTGATAAAAACTAGTACCAAAAAAAGATGGCAGCATATGCCTACCTCAAGGTTCTGCTGGATAGGGTTGAGTAAATTGCTAATCTGTTCGTTGTATATCTGTTTTAAAGAAGGAAGAAACACATTAGCAACATTAAGCGACCAACTCATTGCTATTTTGGGAAGCTTTATAAGGGAAACTTAAGTTCTTATTTACCTCAAGAAATGAACAACGACATTGATAGTTGAACTGCTTCTGATCAGAAGTAAGCCTCTCCTAATTTGTAATTCAAACTCAATCATTCAAAACTTAAAAAAACAAATGCAAAAATACTAGATTTAGTAATTAAAGTTGGAAATCGAGCATACTCTCTCTAGCTCAGAAAATAACATTCTGAAGATCCGAGGAACAATTCCCAGTTGACTAGAACGCAAGGACTCATCAACCATGGCACTTGGGGGACCCCACATTGTGTGAGTCTTTCCACTTCCAGACTAGTAAAGTGAGAAGGGAACAATAATCCTCAATATTCCATCAAAAGTGACACTCGTTTTGTCACTAAAAAAGTTCAAAAACATAGCTAGCAAGCAACCAAATTTACCTGGCCAAACGACAGAATTGTAGTGTTGTAACCAGCTAAGGCATTTCTAACCAAGGGAACACCCACTGACTGAAAAACATCTTCCTGAAAAAAAGACAAATTCATGATTCATCTTCTCCTAAAAGCAAACTGGGCAACAAACAACATCGAATAAAAAAAGGCTAAGATCTCGTTGCCTAACTATAACATCAAACTGATGTAATTTCAAATTACCTTTTCCTTACATCAAGCAAAATACTTGAAGATTTAAAACGCGAATCACAATCACACAATGAAGTGAAATTCCTACCTGATTGGAGCTGGTATCAAAAACTTCATCAAACGTGAACTTTATGTCCCCGACACGCAGGGCATCAGAAGAAACCTTTTTAATCTCCCAGTCTCCCTCTTTTCCATTGATATTCTCAGGCTTAATTCTAACCACAACCTGCTCCAAAAAACACAATATATCATTAGCAAAAAAATCAATTGTTTTACACTAGTTTCTGTGGCGACAGATTATAACTTGAAAGTTGAAATGTGACCCAAAAAGGAAGCAAATGTTAGAACTTGCCTTAACATGTGAGTTGCTGTGGGAAAATGGGTCGTAAGGCTTCGATTCGTGGTGGTGATTGAGGGAAATGTTTGGATGGGTAGGGGGAGTGTTTTCAGCGTCAGAATTTGGGGATTTAGGATTTGAGAAGGAAGAAGACGTGGGTTTGCGATTGGAAGAAGAGATTGATCTGAGAAAATTAGAAGAAATGTTTCCCAAGAAACCACTAGAATCTGTGTTGTTGGTCTTTTGCCTCATTTTTTTACAAGAAAATTCGAGAAGACAGAGAGAGAGAGTTTGGATTCAAGTGTTGAATGGACAGTGAAGTGAAGAAGATGAAGAGTGTTTGAATTGGATTAATTGAAAGAGGGAAAAAAATTTGAACGTTAGGAATTTTACAAACGAAATTCCTAAATTGTCCTTTTAGGTTTACGAAGAAATAAGTACTTTTAAATAATAGGTAATAAAGGTTAAATATATAATTTACATTATTCATCTAATATTTGAAGACACTAATTTCTTTTAACTGTTTTATCCCACATTTTTCTCTTATTGTTTTTTTTTTCTGAATAAAAATTATATAATTACAATTTTCCTAAACAACTAATTTTCAATGATTAAAGAATGATAATGAAAATTCATAAATGACTATCAATATAAAGTAATAATAATATGTAAGAAAGTGAGTTAAACTCATCATAATTTGTACAACACATAGTTATTTTTTGAAAATTTCATTATACTTTATATTTAGTATATATATTTTTTGTCATTAAATTAAATTATGTTAAAAGAGAAGAAATATTCATTTAATATATGTTTAAGAGAAATATATTTTTTTATTTCATTTATATTGATGCTCTTATTTTGAATTAAATGAGAGAAGCATCTTGCAATTGAAAAACACAAATTAATTATGTGTTTTCTTTACTCCAATTTATTTCCTTTGTCAACAAAGTTAAATTAAAATTATAAATTAATAACAAATGAAAAAAATATCATAAATTATGATTTAAATTGTCATTTGATCATAAATCAACATGCAAAAAGTATTTGTTAATTGTTACATAACTATGTTAAAAATTGTATCATAGTAGTTTATATTATAAATCGTGTAAAACTATTTTATGTTGTAAAAGTATAATTATTAAACTCATAATATCATATTCATTCAAATAAAAAAATAGAAAAATTAAAGACATCTCCAATATCTCTTCATTTAAAAAAAAATCATAGAAAGATAATTTTAAATAAAAATTGGAAGTTAAACTTAATCATTTATTGGAATAATTTTTTGGTTAAGTTAAAATTAACCAAAATCGTTTATTAAAATTAACTTTTTGGTCGTATAACTTAATAACGAATGTGTAATTTTATTTTCTATATAATTTTAATTGCATTTATTTCAAGATTAAATAATTTTAGTCAAACATTAATATAACTTTTAATTGTTAACTCTTTTTTTTTTCAGAATAACACATGTTAAAGCTTTTAACTAAACCTAAAATTTTCTATCAAATCTTACTAAAGTCAAGGTTAATATTATTTATTTATTTTTACTTTTTTCATTTTATCAAAAAAAAAATTTTAGTAATCTTTTACATGAATAAGTAATGAACATTAACATTTTTATTACGAATAAATAATAACGATTTTTATTAACAATTAAATGACTCGTTATAAAAAATACTTAATTTTAGAAAATTAGAATAACGAAATAAAAATCTATTTGAAAATAAAAACGCTCCTCCAAGAGAATGATGAGAGAGTGAGGGCAAAATAGTCCATGCAAGAAGTTAGATTCAAATAATTAGAGGTTGAGGACTTTGCCTTCCGTTTCCGACATCAATAATTAATTATTGATAATCATAAATAAACTTTATACAATTATAATAATAATTTATTAACTTACAGAAATTAAATAAAAAGTGTTATTATTATTATTAGTAGTAGAAATATAGGTGCATGTGAATATAAATATTTATTTTCAAAATTATAAATTATTGGAGACAAATAAATATGAGATAGAATTGTGAGAGAAACTGAAAAGATTACGTGATGAAAGAAATAAGAAAAAAAATATTTTTATTATTTTATATTAAAGAGACGAAAAAAAGAAGAAGAATTGATAATACTAAAACATAAAAGTTTTTCAAATTATTTAAATAATTTAAAATATTTTTTTCCTAGAAAAATATTGAAAATCTAAAAAGATAGTCAATCTCTAAAATCTAAATGACTTTTCATTTAAGATAAAGTTGTTGAAACTCTAATGTTTAATTATATTTTTTATTAATTCTTTTTACTTTTAGAATTCAAAAAATGTTACCTTGTGTTAAGGTTTTTTCATAACAAAAGTTAAAATTATAGCTTCCTCTATGAAATGATCGAAATGAAAAATCTCGTTAAAGATAATCGGTAAATTTTTTAAATAAAAATTTATTGATTAAAATTTATTTATTCACAACACAAAAAAACTATTTGAATATCACTCATTTAATTCATCACATTGATACAAAAGAAAAGCATTGCGTAAAAGGTTTGTATAATGTAATAACCAAAATTGTATATATAATTTTAGGGGTATTAAAATATCCTTAATCTATTTGTAAATATAAAAAATATGAGATATAGGTTAAATTAAATTAAAAAATTTGTTATTTATTTTGGTATGTTGTAATTAAGATAAGGTCTATTGACCCATTTTATTAAATAATAATAATTTTTAAATAATAAAAATATTATTTTATTATATATATTATAAATTAATTTGACAAGAGATTTATTTATTATAAGAGTAAATATAAAAAAAAGTTTTAAATTTTTATAATCTTTAAAAAGATTGAATAATGATAATGATGATTAATTTTTTAATTCTTAGGAATTAAATGAATTTTTTTATATAATTTATATATTAAATCATTATATTTAAATTAAAAACTATTTTTTTAATATAATTTAAAATTTTAAAATATGCTTCTTTTTTAATTAATTAATTTTATATAGATATATTAATCAAAATTAGTTTATTAATTATTAGTTTGTTGGTTTAACATAAAATTAAACTAATATTAACGACAATATGAGTCAAACCTTGTAAGTTGACCCCTTAACCCGTTATAAATATGGAGGGACGAGTTGATATCTTTAGTATGTTAGCCTGTTTTGACCCACTCGTCAACCCACAACTTGCTTAACTAATTAAAAAATCATTATAATACTAAAGAGAATTTAAAAAGTCTTACTCTCACCCAATCACTACAAGAAACACTCTTATTTTTCAAGCACAAGTTCAACTCTCTCTCCTCTCCTCCTTGTTTACTGTTTTTCATTATCCTGTAAGATAAAAATCAGATATATCTCATATTTTTTTCTCTTTTTTATCTTTGTTAATTACACTTTCTTAGGGTTTCATTATTTCTCTTAGAATTTTTCTTAGGTGTTTGAATTTTTCATTATAAAAAATAGAGATTTTAAAAGTTTTGATGTTACTTATATGTAGTTGTTATTACTTATTATTATATAAATTTTATCTTAATTCGATTGTTCTAAATTATAATTTTTTAACACAATATGCTAATTTATATTATTAACTTAAAATAAATACGTTGAATGATTGACAAACAAATGATAATCTTATTATCAAACTTATTGACAATTTTAATTTAAAATAGACAAATAAATTAATTTTTAGAAAATAAAATTATGGCAGGACGGGTCAAGATCTACAATCTATCGTAACTATAACTGGTCATCCCACCTGCCCAATTTTTGGTGGGCTAAAGACAAGCGAACTAACTTGTTTGGTCATCCATACATGCTAAGTCAAAAATTAGAGTCCATTAAAATTTTAGGTCAAGCTGAATCATCAATTTTTTTTTTACTTGACTCGTAGAGTTAAGTCAGACTTAGTTAAGTCACCTATGTTTGACAATTTTATGTAGTTTATAAGACAAACAAAATATTTTTCAAAATAAAATATTTTCCATAATATAATTACTTAGATACATATATATCACCAACGAAAGGTACTTAATAATAAGAAATCTCTTTCTAGTCAAATTTAGGTCTAACCTCTTAGAAACTTATCACTTGCACCATTTATACCAGTGTAAAAACACAATCATCATAGTTACAATAACAATGACATACAAATACAAGATAGAATAAGTTACTAATTCAATTTACTTCATAGCAACACACATTCGACAAAGACACACACATACAAATAGGCATGCCGATAAACACATTTTATCAATATTTGTATTTATATATAATTATTATTATTAATTAATTAATTGTTAGTTATTAGCATAATTTGCCAAAAAAATTATCTCTCGTATCTAAATTATTATTTAAATTATACATTTTAAGTAATTATTTATTTATTTTTGTAAGAATAATAAATTAAAGAAAAATATAAAGTTATATTTTGAATAATTCACTCAGCGAAAGAGGAATTTCACTTATTGTATCATTCTTATAGAGTTCATTCCAGTTTTCAATGAGTCGCTGGACGAATGAAGTATTTCGCTAAGCGAGTGTGTTGTCTAGCATAAACTAACTTAACTGTTAATCTCACCAAACAAGCAAATCAGTCACCTAACAAATCTACCATAGAACCTCAATTATGTAGAAGCACGCTTCAAGTTTTATATTGTGTAATTGGACAATTATGAGTATTGGATAAAATTTGAGCATATTAAGTTCATTTTTTATAATATAAATAAACTTTAGAATGCCGAAATTCATAAGTTAAGTTTCATTTTCTTAATTTTGCATCTTAGAATCTAGTTTTCTATCATTTTTTTTTTTGTTTAACTTCTAAATCTGATTCAAGTGGATCTTGCACAAATAATGTATTGAACTTTATCAATTCAAGATAGTTTGGATCATATTTGTTTCATTTCTCTTTACTTCTTCCATTTAATGTTCATGTCTCATCTTCTCCTTCTACTTTTATTGCTTTTTCTTCATTGTTTCATGTTTTTACTATTTTTTTACACCTTACTCATATTCTAATTCATTTTTGTGGTTGTTTTACCGATTAAAACTTGTTTTCTATGGTTTATATTTGATTTTTAATGAATATAACCGATTATAATTCATTATAATTAATATAATTGAAGTTATTTGATTGAATGTCTCATTTATATTACAATTTAATTTATAGGCTTAAATGATTGTTTTATTTAGAAATTAAGTTGTATTTTCTTACTTTAATTGGATTGTAATTATTTGAAACTATTGTGAATTTT